TATTTTTCAGCTGCTTTTTGGTCTGAACTGGCAGCCTCACCATGCCTAATCACACTATGTATGCCACTATGATTCTTAAATCTTTCAAACCAACGTTTGCTGGCCTTAAATTCACTCACATCACCATTAGTTGTAGGCATTTTTCTAATTAAATCCTCATGCAACTGCCTAGCCTTTTCACAAATGATTGCTTGAGAGATGCTATCTCCAGCTGTCTGTTTTTCATTTATCCACATCAATAACAATCTCTCAACATTTTCTAACACTTGCAATTGCTGTTTTGTAATCACAGTTGCACCTTTTGCAATAACAGCTTCCTTGATTGCCGTTTTCCTGCTCACTATAGTAGAGATGGTTGATTGGGATTTACTATACAACTTGGCCAGGTCCGACACACGCACTCCACTTTCATACTTTGCAATTATCTCTTTCTTCATTTCAGTAGTCATTAGCACCCTTGGTCTCGATGGGTTGGCACTAGAAGCTTTCTTGGGGCCCATGGTGACTTACTTTGCAGAAACAAGCACCAAAAACAGTGATAATATGGATAATATGGAATATACCGAATGTATCTTTAGATGCGCGCACACTGGCTGGCTTGTAAACATTGGCACACACGGGGCAGTTCAGGCCACACATGGACATGTCTCATACGAATCGTATAGTGTACCGGGTTTTGTAATGGGAACTGAGGCAAATTTTTTTGCGATATAATGCTTCGGATACCAGATTTATCGGTTACCGATGACTTCGCGAACCGGGGGTCCACTGTACAGTGGACCCTCAACCAGCGATGGCATCGATTAACGATAAATCTGACTAGCGATACATTTTAACGCAAAAATTTTGCCTCAACTAGCGCTTAAAATCCCGACCAGCGCTATTCGGTCCGTACCATACGCGTCCACTTTGGCCTGAGCGTGCCTCACTTGTCCCTTGGTGCCAGTGTTTACAAGCCAGCCAGCCACCGCGGTCGCTTCCAAACATACAACAACTGGAACATTTCATATTATCACAGCCTTTGTAGTGATTGCACCTGCAAAATAAGTCACCATGGGCCCCAAGATAGCTTCTAGTGCCAACCCTACAGCAAAAAGGGTGAGAATTACTATGGAGATGAAGAAAGAGATCATTGCTAAGTATGAAAGTGGAGTGCGTGTCTCTGAGCTGGTCAGGTTGTATAATAAACCCCAATCAACCATCGCTACTATTGTGGGTAAGAAGACGGCAATCAAGGAAGCTGTTCTTGCCAAAGGTGCAGCTGCTGCTGCACCACAGTCAGCTGTTGTTGTTGCTGCACCACCATCAGCTGTATTGCTCGAAGATGTGGAGAGAGTGTTGTTGGTGTGGCTTAACGTGAAACAATTACCAAGAAACGATTAACCCCGGAGGGTTAGCCACCCAGGATAACCCAAGAAAGTCAGTGCATCATCGAGGACTGTCTAACTTATTTCCATTGGGGGTCCTTAATCTTGTCCCCCAGGATGCGACCCACAACAGTTGACTAACACCCAGGTGAACAGGAAAAAATGCCTGGAACTAGTGCTCATATTGGTGAGGTTATTGGGGAGGATGTGGAAGATTTGGTGGAGGAGGACAATGACGAACTAACCACTGATGAGCTGCTAGAGCATCTTCAACAGTAAGAGGCCACACCTGAGGAAACTGCTTCGGAGGAGGGGAGAGAGAAATTGAAGGAGTTGCCTACTTCAAAGATTAAGGAAATGTGTGCAATGTGGCTTAAAGTGCAAACCTTTTTTGATGAAAATCACCCTCACACAGCTATTGCAAGCCGTGCTGGTGACTATTACACTGACAATGTTGTGAAACACTTTAGGATAAAGGAATGAGAGGTACAGGCCTCTATGGACAGATATGTTGTGCGACAGAAGTCCAGTGACTCTGAAGCTGGTCCTAGTGGCATTAAAAGAACAAGGGAAGTAGCCCAAGAAAAAGACTTGCTACCTCAAGTGCTAATGGAAGGGGATTCCCCTTCTAAACACTAACAAGATCAATGGTCTCCCCTCCTCGCATCCCATCAATCATCACCAGATCTTCAATAAAGGTAAGTGTCATGTAACTGTGCATGTCTTCTTCAGTTTGTGTGTATTAAAATTAATATTTCATGTGGTAAATTTTTTTTTTTCAATACTTTGGGGTGTCTTGCACGGATTAATTTGATTTCCATTATTTCTGATGGGGAAAATTAACTTGACTAACGATTATTTTGATTAACGATGAGCTCTCAGGAACGGATTAATATCGCTGGTTGAGGGTCCACTGTACAAGGATTGTACTACAGTAGAGAACCATATAGTAATTTTATAGTACAGTGGAGCCTCTACTTACGAATGCATCCATGTGCGAGTTTTTCCAGATACGAGCAGCTGCTCGGTCGATTTTTTGCTTCCAGACGGGAGCAAAATTTCCAGATGCGAGTGGGCCTCAAGGGAGGTTAATTGACACTGGTGAGGGGGATCTTGCTCTTGATCTAGGGAATTGGATCTCAGTTGTTTGTTGGACTATTTTATTGAAACTTGGACAATGTACTATGAAAAGATGCTTCTTAACGTACACCAAAAATGAAAGAAATTGGACCATAAATAAAGGAGTTCACTTCTCAGCCATTAGCCTCCCCTTAGCGGTATATTTTCATATGGTTTTTATGGTTGTATTCTCGTTTTATTTGGTCTCATATGATAGAATGGAAGATATACTACAAAAATAAATATGATTTTAATTGGTTTCACGATGAAAAGTACCTTGAAATTGAGCTCAAAATAGCAGAAATGTTCGATTCTTTGGCGACATCAGTGGTAGACATCATGAGGTAGCAGTGGCAGACAACATGAAGCAGCAGTGGCAGACAACATGAGGTAGCAGTGACAGACAACATGAAGCAGCAATGGAAGACAACATGAAGCAGCAATGGAAGACAACATGAAGCAGCAATGGAAGACAACATGAAGCAGCAGTGGCAGACAACATGAAGCAGCAGTGGCAGACATCATGAGGTAGCAGTGACAGACAACATGAAGCAGCAATGGAAGACAACATGAAGCAGCAATGGAAGACAACATGAAGCAGCAATGGAAGACAACATGAAGCAGCAATGGAAGACAACATGAAGCAGCAATGGAAGACAACATGAAGCAGCAATGGAAGACAACATGAAGCAGCAGTGGCAGACAACATGAAGCAGCAGTGGCAGACATCATGAGGTAGCAGTGACAGACAACATGAAGCAGCAATGGAAGACAACATGAAGCAGCAATGGAAGACAACATGAAGCAGCAATGGAAGACAACATGAAGCAGCAGTGGCAGACAACATGAAGCAACAGTGGCAGACATCATGAGGTAGCAGTGGCAGACAACATGAAGCAGCAGTGGCAAAGTGTAGCATTAACCCCTTCAGGGTCCAAGGCCAAAATCTGAAGTGGTGCCCCAGCATCCAAGAATTTAAAAAAAAAATATGTTATTTTTTCTTATGAAATGGTAGAAAATTTTTTCTGAAGATAATAAAACAAAAAGTATGAAATTTGATGGAAAACTGACGAAATTATGCTCTCGCGAATTTTAATGTGTCAGCGATATTTACGAATCGGCGATTTTGCCAACTTTGACTCCAATTTTAGGCCAATTACATTATTCCAGTCAACCAAATTCTTAGCTATTTCACTAGCATTACTTATATTCTATCGATTGAGCACAAGAAATCGCCAAGTCAACTGTTTCAACTACAAAATAAAGTGATCGGAAATTGGTAATTTGGCCAGTTTAACACAAAGTTCAAAATATTCCAATTTCAAAATAGGGTCCAGAATAAACACTGTAGGTATTCCTGGCACTAAACTAACATTTCCTCTGTTCATTAGTTACGTTTTGAGGCTTTACAAATGAATTCCATTTTGATTTTTTTTTCACATAATGAATTTTTATTCACACCAAAAAATAGAAGATTTACTCTTATGCAATATTGTAATAATTGTATAAATATCATCAACACATTTGTGAATGTATATTAGACCCACCAACTGGCGTGTATTAGACGTGTGAGGTCATTTGTTTACTCTTGAACATCGGTAAAAATTTAACATTTCCTCTAATTTGAGCTCAGTTTCAAGCCATTTCCAGTGCTAAAACCAATCAAAATCATATCTATTTCTATAATATGTCTTCCATTCTATCAAATGAGACCAAGAAATCGGAAATACAACTATAAGAAACATACGAAAAAACACTGCAAAGTCGCTGATTTAATCGAAAATCATGGTCTCAGTTTTTTTTCTCTCATTATACACAGTGTGCTGCAGGATTTGTTTTATGTGGTGCACACATACCACATAGATGTATTCTCTCATATCTAGGCCCAAATTTACCACTCACAGTTTATCAGAGTGAGCTGAGCTCATGACGTAGATCTACGGTTTGGACCCTGAACGTAAAGCCGTAGATCTACGGGACGGACCCTGAAAGGGTTAAGAGTGTAACAATTAAGTGTAGCATTAAGAGTGTAGTAATTAAGTGAAGCATTAAGAGTGTAGCACTTGTAAGTCACTCTACCTGACTTTTTTGGGTTATCCTAGGTTCTCTACACATGTAGTCAGGAGCAGGAATGGCAGCTGTGGTGGCCCTATAAACCCCAACAACAATGGCTGCTGTCACCACCACTACCCACATACCTAATGACATGTATTTTATTCCTTCTAGTGTAGTTATCATGCTTCTATGTTATTAATATTGTTTATTATGTCATATTACATGAATTGTGATAGATAAATAACCTGTAGAGTTGATATTAGGGAAATTATTAAAGTATTTTCTCGTGCCTGGATTTCCACTGGAACGAATTAATTCCATTTCAATTAATTTAAATGAGGAAAACTGACTCTGCAAACGAGCAAATCCAGTTGCGAGCAAGGTCATGGAACAGATTAAACTCATAAGTAGAGGTTCCACTGTACAGTCTGCAATTTACAATAATTTTACTGTACTTACCTTTCTGTGGTGGACAGATGAGGCGTAAACTATTATGAACGATAGTGTGATTCAGAATAACTTTTATTCCGAATCTGAGGAGCTGTAAAGTTCTGCTAGAGAAAATAAGGTTGATGGCTGAGAAGATGTAAATAGTTTAGAAGACACTGATTTCTGAGAACCACACAGAGAGCTACACATTTTCTCCAGGAATCACCATTTGCTTTAGAAGCTATTGTTGATTGCACTTTATTTAATTTGCTAATAAAGTCACACAAAATGCTCTAAATCCCAGGAAAATTAGAGACCGAATGACGAGTGTATGCATGAATGAACACAAACAATAACTTGGCACTAATGGCCTATGACTCAGGGAATAATAAAAACAGACAGGTACTGGATGTAGCCATTTTGGCCTGTACCAGACAAATGTCAGAGTTAATGGACTTGATCCAATACTTCAGAAGCCAACCAGACACTATCACTACAGGCAAAATGTGGAATAATGGACTTTTGTCCATTTCGTTTGGCCATTTTCTTTTTGTCCAAATTTGCTATCTGTTAATGAAAGGTTTTACTATTCTAACATGGTTAAAAAACTTGGAATTGTTGGATTACATGCTATAGCTGGAGAATGCCTTTTCTGGTGGGCTTCAAACTTTAACTGCTGCTGTAGTCTGCTCAACGAAGGTTTAGTTATTAGGAGGCTGCATAAGTTTTAATTTGTCATTTATATTAAACAAACTGTGATACCTGTGGCTAGTTTGTAAATATTTTTCTACCCTTGCATCCTTGCCTAGTGCCTGGTTTATCTGGCATCACAGAGAGATAGTGATCAAGTTTCCTCTGGTAGACTTCTACACTTGTTCCTTCAATATATGTATTTGACATCTGCTGATTGCAGGTTGAACAGTCTTGGACCAAGGATGTTGACAGTGTTCTTTTAGTGTGGACATGATGACCCTGCTTTGCACTTGGTCAACTATACACTTCCTCTCTTATCTCTTACTCTAGTATATTGTCATGGTAGTGTGTGGATTTGGGACTAGGCCCTCAGGTATCTTCCATGTATATATTATCAAGTGTTTCTCTTCTTCTATGCTCCAGAGAAAATATTCCAAGTATCCTGAGACATTCCCAGTAGCTTAAATGATTTAGTGGCTCTATGTGGGCAGTAAATGACTTCGGTACTTTTTCCAGCTTTGATATCTTTCCTACCTTGCAAGAGGCAGTCAACTCCAAGCACTATTCTGAATGTGACAGTATCATGGCTGTTATAACTAAGTCTGTTACATATTTCATTGTATAAGATAAAACTCTTACATTTTGCATTCAGCACTCCTTTTAAATTCCTCAATATTGATTTTCATTCAAAAACTAGAGAATGCCTCTTTTGGTTAACTTCAAATGTTAAAGCTGATGCATTTTATGAGAGAAAGGAAACCCTTAAAGTTTAACCCTTTCAGGGTCAAGAGGCCCTCTCCTAAACTTGTTCTCAGGGTTGAAAATTTTTCGGAAAAAATAAAAAAAAAAATAATTTTTTCTTATGAAAAGACAGAAAATATTTTCCCAGTCATAATGACACCAAAAGTATAAAATTTGATGGAAAACTTACGGAATTATGCTCTCGCGAAGTTGGTGGTCTCGACGATGTTTACGCATCAGCAATTTCACCCACTTTGAGTCCTATTTTCAGTCAATTCCAGCATACTAGTCGACAAAAATCATAACTATTTCGCTAGAACTCCATTTTTTCTATCGAATGAGTACAAGAAACCACCCATTTACCAATTTCAACTATCAAATAAAGTGGTCAGAAGTTAGCAATTTTGCCAATTTCACACAAATTTCAAAAGATGCCAATTTCCAAATAGGGTCCAGAATAAACAAGACACATTCCTGGCACTAAAATAACATTTTCTCTGTTCATTAGTCATGTTCCCAGGGCCCTCTTACATTTCTTTTGCTTTCCACTTTGAATTTTTATTCTTACAAAAAAATAGAAGATTTACCGTTATACAAACTACTGCATTAGTGTAGAAATGGTATAAATAATATCAGTACACTTGTGAAAGAATATTAGACTCACCAGTTGACGTGTATTGGACGCGTGGCATGATTTGTTTATTTTTGAACTTTGGCAAAAATCGAACATTTCTGCTACTTTGAGCTCAATTTTAAGGTAGTTTTCTTTGTGAAACCAATCAAAATTATCTCAATTTCTGTAATATGTCTTCCATTCTATAAAATGAGATCAGGAAAACTAGAATATAGCCATAAATACCATACGAAAATACAGTGCAAAGTCACTGTTTTAAACCAAAAATACGGTCAAAGTTTTTTTTTCTCATTACGCACTGTGTGCTGCAGGATTTTTTTAATACTGTGCACACTGACCACATAGACCCTTTTTTCATATGTAGGCCGACCAGCTTTCTCTTGCTAGATTTGAAGGCACTAGAATTTAGGCGTACTAGTACGTCAATAACCCTGGTGCGTAAGCCGTACTAGTACGTCGGAAACCCTGAAAGGGTTAAGGAGTGTAGAGGTAAATTTGTCAATACATGTACAGAGGAACCCCGAGTTTCGGCCATAATTCGTTCCAGAAGGCTGTTCGAGTGCAGTTACCGAATGAATTTGTTCCCATAAGGAATAATGTAAATTAGATTAGTCCATTTCAGACCCCCAAAAATACACTTACAAAAGCACTTACAATAAAAAAAATACAAGTAAATAACTTTTCGAGTTGGGAGGTGGCCAAAACTCGGGGTACCATTGTACTAACATATTTACAAATCTCAGAATTGTTGCATTCTGTGCGATACCTGATGAATGCTTTTTCTGGTTGACTTTTCAAACTTTCAACATTAATGCACCTTATTTAGAGAAAGGTTGAGTTTTATAGTGGCATTGTAGTCTTCAATTTACTCATTTTAGGGAAGTAAAAAAATTTTTTGGAGTCTCATAATTACTCTTCTGGATCACCAAGAAATTGTCTATTAAATTTAAAAATTTAACAGACCTTTGAAACATTTCAAACCAACACCATGTCAATTTTTACATACCCCCAGAATTTTTTTAAAATATTAAGGTGAATTTCAAATATTTCTTTTAAAATGCTAAGGTTTATTGTGTCCTTTCATGGTGAATAACCTGTTTGAGTTTCATTAAGATCATACCTATTGGTTCCTTTGATATAAACAGGAAAACAAAGCTTCCCCCCTGATCTCCCCCCCCCTATAAAAAAGCAGCCTTGGACACTCCTTGGCATTTTCAATTTTAAATCCGTGCAATTCTACAGGAATTGCCCTGCCAAGTATCACCAAGTGATTGTCTATACAGTGGATCCCCGGTATACGATATTAATCCGTTCCTGAGAGCTCATCGTATGCCAAAATTATCGGAAGACGAATTAATTTTCCCCATAAGACATAATGGAAATCAAATTAATCCATGCAAGACACCCAAAAGTACTATGAAAAAAAAAAAGTTTTACCACATGAAATATTAAGATTACTGCACACAAACTGAAGAAGACATGCACAGTTAGTAGTACTCTACTAACAATAGAATACATGACACTTACCTTTAATGAAGATCTGGTGATATCACGATTGATGGGATGGGAGGAGGGGAGTGTGTCAAAGTTGTTAATGTTTAGAAGGGGAATCCCCTTCCATTAGGACTTGAGGTAGCAAGTCCTTTTCTGGGGTTACTTCCCTTCTTTTAATGCCACTAGGACCAGCTTGAGAGTCACTGGACCTCTGTCGCACAACAAATCTGTCCATAGAGGTCTGTACCTCCCGTTCCTTTAAGATTTGTCTAAAATGGGCCACATTGTCATTGTAATAGTCACCAGCACGGCTTGCAATAGCAGTGTTAGGGTGATTTTCATCCATAAAGGTTTGCAGTTCAAACCACTTTGCACACATTTCCTTAATTTTTGAAGTAGGCACAATGGATTCCACAACTGGCATAGGCATCTCAGGGTTAGCCCCAAACCCTTCAAAATCTTTCTTAATTTCCATACTAATTCTCACCCTTTTTACCACAGGGTTGGCACTAGAAGCTTTCTTGGGGCCCATGGTGACTTATTTTGCAGAAACAAGCACCAAAAACACTGTGATAATATGGAACGTACAGAATGTATGCTTAGATGCGAGCACACTGGCTGGCTTGTAAGCACTGGTACGCACGGGGCAATTCAGGCCACATGTGGATGCGTCCTGGACGAATCGCGTGTGGCGATTCGTGGGACACCACGTGACAACATGTCAGCTGGATTCTCTTGGGTAGAGACGTGGAGAAAGAGATAATCTCTCTGCATCTCTGTTATTTCTGCTACTCTGTTCTGTACATAGACCAACTTACTCTTATAACGCGTGGTGAGGCAAAATTTTTGCTTTAAAATGTATCGTATACCGGATTTAACGTATACCGATGCCATCGAATGCCGGGCTTCCACTGTATGTCTCTATACATCAACCATATAAAAAAGATATAAAAAAGACCTGGAAAACACTCCCAGATTCTGGGCACCCATAAACTGAAAAAAACAAGAATATTGTCCTAACTAAACCTAATGAAACACGGCTGCATCCCACCGATACAGCTAACAAGATAAACGACTTCTTCTTAACCAAAGGATCTAATCTTGCCAGTAAAATCCCACGTACCAACGCCCATGCCGGGGACTCCTAGATGGGAATTTCCCAAATTCCTTCTATCTTGTACCAACTGAGCCCACCGAAGACACCGAGATTATAAAGTCACTCAAAAATAACTCAGGGAATCTGTCTCATGTCCCACCATTATTGTACAAGCGAGCGGCCCATGTCCTTTCGCATGCTATTTCATTACTTTTTAACAAGTCACTTGAAACTAGCACCTTTCCGAAACTACTCAAGACAGCAAGGGTTACACCAAAACATAAAGGTGGTGACCCTACAGATGTAAACAACTATAGGCCAATATCAAACTTACCATTGCTATTCAAAATCTTTGAGAAACTCGTGCACAGGAGACTATATTCATTTGTAACGGCACAAAACTTACTCAACCCCTGCCAATTTGGATTCAGGAAAAATAAAAGCATTAATGATGCAATTGTAAAAATGCTAGATCTGCTTTACACAGCATTGGAAAATAAGGAATATCCGCTAGGAATTTTTATTGACCTAAGAAAAGCTTTTGACACAGTAGACCACGGCATCCTACTCCACAAACTTGACCATTATGGTATAAGAGGCCTTGCGCTTGCATATTTCAAATCCTACCTTACTAATAGGTATCAGTATGTCACCATTAACCCTTTGACTGTTTCGGTCGTATATATACATCTTACGAGGTACCGTGTTTGACGTATATACAGTAGGGCCCCGCTTTACGGCGTTTCACTTTACGGTGTTCTGCTAATACGGTCATTCCAAATTATGACCAAAACTCGCTATACGGCTCCCCCACCTGACTTTCTAATACGGTCACTGCGCCCCACCCTGTTTGTTTACATTCTCCGTGAGCTCAGTAAGCACTAAGTTTCTCCATTTTGTCTGGAAACT